TGTGGCGTAGTAATAAATTATTTCTATTCTATTCTAATAATTAAGAAACGCTATTACAGTTTTTTTAGGGACAAAGATACCTAGTTTAAAAATTGGCGGCAAATAAACAATCCTAACCCACAGCCCATACAAAGATCTGCAACGAGCACATAGAAAAATTCCTAAGATCTGCTGACTGCTGACCTCGTTTGGTAAGAGCGGGGGCCCCGGTGTGGCAACAGACACTAGTTCAATACAGCCAGGGGGTTTGACATCCGTTCTCCGTTCGTAACAATTACTGTCCAATAAGCAATACTCGACCAAATTAAAAAACGCATGATGCGAATGAAGCTAACCTACTTAACATTGTTTATTGATTTGGTCGAGTATTACTTATTTAACAGTAATTTATTATTTCGGACGGAATGTCGAACGAGAACGATAGCATATCCACAAATCGAAGGAATTTTTCTGTGAGTTGTCATCTTTGTATCAATATAACAAACTAGTGGAGTATTTACAAAAAAATATACTAATATCAGGGTATTAAAAACATTAAGCTATTCAATAAAATAAATATTACACATAATCAGTTTCTAATTTTGAGTATCATAAATAAGGGATGAAGTACCTATTATAATTTTTTTACCTTTATCGCACAAACAAAAAATTATACCGAAAAATCGACTCAAAAACAACAAAACTTAGATTAGGATATCTGCTCTCCAAAAACGTCAATTACTTGATTTTGTTAAACAAGAAAACGAAACTAAATAAGATATTACAAAACCGATTAGAAGGAGTTATAGACCCAGTATCGGTGATCCCAGATATGTTAAGAACTCGGTTTCGCTAAAAATATGGATTATGTTAGTAATAATAAAGAAAGTAGATATGCGGGAAAACAATTTTTAAAATATCGATTATAGTCGATTATCAAATAAAAATATCTTATAGTGTCTTTTATCTATTTTTACCACGAAGAGATTCTACTCGGCTATTCGGCTTATTCCCATCTGAGCCCCTAAAACCGATTTTCTATTCCCATCGGATTCCCTGTGCAGGAGATCAAGTATAAATAATTATATTTTATTCTCACCTGATCACCATGGTACTCATAAGCTTATTTTTGGTAATTAGTGTGGCCAACAAAAAAAACTTAAGAGCCCTAAGAGATGACGCAAATTTGCAAATTGTGCACATTAATATACCCCACTAACAAAGCGATTATTAGCCAAGAAATAACAATCGATAAATGACACAATTACGTCACGGACCAACTTTTGACTGGGAATATCATAGTTAGTCACACTTCAGAAAAATGTAAATTTTAATTATTATTTAGATTGATTTTTTTATAACTTGTGATTTGCAATATGTCAGTATTAATGACTCTCACAAAAAAATTTGATTATCTGTTATAATTATAACTTTATAACATTTGATTACAATTGCTCAATAAAAAAATATTTTATTAAAAAGCTTCTTTTTCCCTTGACTTTACTTACCTTACAAATACAATGAGGGAATTCGTTGAGAGTTGCTAAATATTCATCATCAATTCATATTCAGGATCAGTTGAGATTTAAAATTGGCGGTGGGTCAGTAACCGGGGATCAGATGGGAATGACACGAGTATTCTGACGTATAGTTAGTTATCCGATATGCGTTTGTCTTATCTTGTTAGTCGACATTCCAAAATAAATGCACGAATCAATGTTGAAACAATTGCACTTGTATAAAGAAGACAGAAAAACATCTACATATGGCCAAAAAGACACCACATAACAAAAAGAAATTATTTATAAAGATAAGGCTACATAAATGCATTATGTGGCGCCAGCTGTGGCAACAAAAGGGGCACTAATTTAGTACGACATGATATTGTATAATATTCTACATAAATACACATTCATGGTTACGACATAATATTGATTTCAACCAATCGATTCTACCTATCTTATCTGCGGAAAATTGAGGCCAATTTCGATCGCCCATACGTTTTGTACACCAATTAAGCTGTAAAATCGTAAAATTTATAGATCGGCTAAGTAAATAACTACTGTTATATTGAAATTTATTAACAACTTTCTACAAGGACTACAAAATTTTGATAGTTATTATGTTTTCATAACAACATTCTAACGGTGGTATTTGAAAATGAATATTAATGATTTTTTTTATAACTCGTATGTAGAGTTTTGTTTAAATAAATAAATATGATGATGATCTGGTGAAGACTGCGGGAATCCGCTAGTTACAGGCGGCGCAGGACAGGTCGTTGTGGCATTCTTTGGGAGAGGCCTATATTCAGCAGTGGACGTCTTTTGTCTAAGATGTTGAGGAAATAAATATTAGACAACATCACATACGTTGCTCTGACACCAAAGTAAGAAACGGTATTGTAGTGCATGTGACAATACTGTCTCGGGTGTTCATGTGCGATGCGACTACAGTAGTATCACGAGAGCCCTAGGCGAGAGAAGAGTAGTTGTTATGTGTGCACTGTCGAGCCAGTGATTCCATTGCCATCTATACAGCAGATAATACAAGTGGCGACGAGCAAAAGGGTAAGAACAAAAAATATTATAAAAAAAACAATATTTGAATACGTGCACAGGGGGTCAATTCAGAACCTTACGATAACTCAGTTGTCGACCGATTAGATTTGATATCGTACGATTTCTTTTCATTTTTATTCACAACACTCGAATCGAATGCCATTCAATTTTATTAATTTATTTCAATGCAAGACTAATGCATTTCTATAGGTACGTTAGACCTTTAAAGTTTTAAAAATGTATATAAAAGGATTTTCGTTTTTCTTGTAATCTATTTCGCCGACTAACTCCGTAAACACTGTTGGATGATAGTATAGTGTCCAAATGAAAATCGAACGTTTAGCTCGAAGGTTCTGAATAGCTCGAAAAGCGCCCTTCGATTCGAGAACGACATCCAATCGAACGATTCGGTTAAAATATCGAAGAGTTCTGAATCGGGAACCTGGACACCACAAATACTGTACGAGATGTAAGCGAAAGAAGTGTAACGCGATATGTAAACACAAGTAAAGTTGTAGGATGATATGTAAACAAAGTGGTGTGACCGGCGAACGTTATCGCTGCACACAATCGAAACTAGATACAACATCGTAGTAAAATTTATTATTGTATTTAGTGGGTTGGTACCCCCCAAAACTTAAGTTTAGTGTTTTATTTTATTTAATTATTACATTCACTAAATACAATATAAACTTACATTTATTGATGATATACCTCCATTAAATTGGAAAATGGTTAATGGCATTCTGTCTCCATTAAATTGGAATTTGTTTGATGACAATTTGCCTCCATTAAATTTGAAACCTGTTTGGCATTCTGTCTTCATTAAATTGAAATTTGTTGATGACAATTTGCCTCCATTAAATTGGAAACCTATTTGGCATTCTGTCTCCTTTAAATGGGAATTTGTTTGATGACAATTAGCCTCCATTAAATTGGAAACCAGTTTGGCATTCCGTCTCTCTATTAAATTAGAATTTGTTGATGACGATTTGGCTCCATTAAATTGGAAACCTGTTTGACATTCTGTCTCCTTTAAATGGGAATTTGTTTGATGACAATTTGCCTCCATTAAATTGGAAACTGTTTGATGGCAATTTACCCCATTACATCGAGAACTCTTTGACTTCATTCAACTTCAATGTCAAACCCACTGCCACCCTTAGAAGGGCTGAACATAAACGGTGATACTGCCTCTATCAGAAGCAGATGGGAAAAATGGAAACGAGCCCTAACGATATATCTTGATGCGGCAGAGATCAACACTCCACAAAAGAAAACGCGAGGTTGTTGCACTTTGGAAGAACAGAGCTACAAGAAATTTATTTTAATTTACCGGGTGCAAACGTTGAATCTACCGATGAAAACGATATTTACAAAGTCGTAGTTGAAAAATTAGATGATTTCTTCCTTCCCAAACAAATTCGCGTTTACGAGTGACACATGTTTCGACTCAATAACCAGGAAGAAGGAGAAAAACTTGAAAAATTTTTAGTTAGACTTAGGAAGCAGGCAGACAAATGTCATTTTGACAAAAAGGAAGACCATCTAATTGACCAAATTACGAAAAAGTGTACTTCAATAAAATTACGTAAAAAAATCGTAACGACTGAAGATAGCATTACACTTGATAAAATAATATCCGAGGCAGACAAACACCTCAGAAGTTGTCAATAACCAGCTAGAAAATTATGGAGAAAAGAAAATACCAACTGGAGACACAAACGCAATTAGTAATAAAGTAACAAATCAGAGATGGGAACAATAAGGGACAAATTTTTTATAAGAATAATAAGAAAAGTTGTGGCAGGTGTGGAAATCATAAACACAAATCGGAAGATAATAAATGTCCAGTGTTTCCGTTGCGGAGAGGAAGGACATTATCGCCGTATCTCCGGTGGTACCTATAATAAAGGATGATGGGGAACTTCGACTGTGTATAGACACGAGAGCTGCTAACATGGCCATACCAAAACCATCCTTTACCATGCATGGATCAACTGTTACCAAAAATAGGGAAGCTACATATTTTAGCAAGATTGACATTAAGGACGCTTCCACCAATTGGAATTACACCCCGAAGGTAAACATGTCACAACCTTCATTACGGCAAATGGCCTATATCGGTACAAGTGGCTAATGTTTGGAATCAGCTGTGCTCCAGAAATCTTCCATAATCAGGTCAAATGTGAAGGCGTCATAAATTTTATGGATGACATACTGGTATTTACCATTCTCACCAACACCTATGAAAAGGAGGGAACTTCCATCAGCCCCTTGGATAGACGTTGCAATGGATCTGCTTGCTCCTTTGCCTAATCAGAATTACTTGCTTGTTGTTGTCGACTACTATAGTCGCTACAAAGAAGTCAAGTTCATGAAATCTACCACTAGCTTGCAAATAATAACGTTGCTCAAGGAAATTTTTAGCAGACTTGGATACCCAGTTACAATTACGGTGGATAATAGGAAACAGTTTGTGAGCGACGAGTTCCGATCACTTCGCAAACAATGTAACATTAACATCTTTAATACAATCCCATACTGGTCACAACAGAATAGAGAAGTGGAACGGCAGAATCGAGACATTATGAAAAGATTAAAGATCAGCTACATGGAAAAAAAAGACTTGAAAGAAAGTTTATGGGAGTACCTACTTATGTATAACAGTACCCCTCACGCAACTACTGGCAAATCACCGTCAGAATTATTTTTTAGGCGTCTAAATAGAAACAAAATTCCGTCCTTAGACAAACTTGACAATTCAGGAATTGATGGTGACGTGCGGGACCGATAGAATTCAAAAATAAAAGGGTAAGGTGTACGGGGATAAACGAAGGGGTGCGACTGAACTAAATATACAGGAAGGAGAAAAAGTGTATATTAAAAATATGGCAAAAGGAAACAAACTCGACTCAAATTTTAATCCGACACCACATACAGTTGAAAGTTCTAACGGTGGCAATGTTACAGTAACAAATGATCAAACAGGACAAGTATTAAGAAGAAACGCTGTCCACCTGAACAAGATAGAGGGACAGTGGACAGCAGTTCAAGAAAGAGACCGAGATGAAGGAAAAGGAACTCGAAATGAACCAAATAGTGAATAATAAGTTGTAATAGTATAGAAAGAAGATACAATGGTGAAATGTATGAGTGAATAAGTTGTAATAGTATAGAAAAAAGATACAATGGTGAAATTTAATAGGAAGTACTAAATTCATGTGAAGTTGATTAAATGGTTTAATTCTTAAATTGTAACGATTTATTATTTATTAATAAGGGAGAGATGTAGTGTATGTGGCAACACTGTCTCGGGTGTTCATGTGCGATGCGACTACAGTAGTATCAGGAGAGCGAGAGTGGACGTAGTGACAGTTGTTACGTGTGCACTGTCGAGCCTGTGATTCTTGAGTGATTATACAGCAGATAATATAGGTACCACAAACATCAGACCCTATAGAATATTGAGAAGTTACTTTTCTACATTGACTCGGACGGGAATCGAACCCGGGGCCTGAGATGGCGACACCATGAAAACCGCTGTGCGAGCCTCTCGACACAAATATTAGACATAACTGGTTAATAACTGATATAATCTATTAGCGGTGACAATGGGACTAAAGAGCCTGAAACGTTCGTTTGTTTGAAAAAACAAACACACGTGATTTTAGATACGAAAGGATAGTTTCGTTGCCAATGTGCAATCGTGAAACATATGCTTCGTTTTTTTAGCATTGGACAGAAGGAAACTTTGAGTCTTTTATCAGGCACCATTTTATTCAATCGTTTTGAAAAGCAAAGCATTTTAGTAAATACTCTGAAACAAAATTCTCAAACATATTTACTACCTTCATGTAATTATAACGTTTTTTTATTCCTAGTACTACTATTAAATAAATTATATAAAAAATTTCTATCTTTACATATTTAATCTATTTAAAAAACTTAAAGACACACAGCTTCCAAACATTAACTGGAAACTTTGTATAAAATAATAACATATTATTGTGTAATTTGTAAATGTCATATGTCATTAATTCTGACGATGTTTTCCTTTGTTATAATTAGTAAACAAAGATCGAACACTTAGAAAAAATTCAATTTGATCCTGTTGGATTCGAACCAACGTCTCATAGCAGACCGTGGCAGACGCTTTGCCAACGTTGATTAGAATCCAACCGGATCTAAGTGAATTTTTTGTAAGTGTTCAATCATTGTTCAATAATTATAACAAACTAGTGGAGTAATTTCACAAATAAATAATGGAATATCATGGTGGTAGCAAACATCATGATATTCAATAAAACTTAATTACGATGTTTTCCTTTACTGTAATTTCTTATTTTATGATAAAAGGTTTACGAAATGTGCTTCCGTTTTTTCTAATCTTAATAAAAAACGAAGTATAATAACTGTATGGTAGAACGCTTCCAGCAGTGTATAGAGATGTCTCAACGTACGTAGAGCAGAGTCAGGCTAGAGTTAAATTGAGACGTTAAATTCAAGAAAACTTTCAAGAATTGATAAGAGTTGAACGTAGTGTTGATTATGTATACGTGACGTACGATCGATGTTTACCTAAAAGTGATAAACATCTGTTGATTTTAAATTGACATTTCACATTGACCATTTCTTTTTTGCTTAGTTTGTAACTTTTAAATTCAATTTCCGAAATCTTTTCTTTTTTCTTCCAAGTTTGGAAAAATAGATATGCCTTCAAAGATCCTAAAGACCAAGTGCCAACAGAAGTTCGTTAGGGCCGCGCCGGTCATGTTATATAGATAAATACGTAGCGTTTGCCACCTGCGGTATGAACGAGGGTCACAAAATTAGGCGTGTCGTGCCAGTCATTTTGACTCACCACGGCGATGGACGTGTTAGCGGCTTTATGTCGCACTTGAAGCCAAATGCTGTCGTAACTCAAAAACGCCAGACTTGAGAAAACACGACTTGAAAGTTAAAAAATAAGGAAAGGTCTTTATTCAGTATAATGAGATTATTTTTATCTATACATAATTAGGTAATCAATTTATAAACGAGAATATAAATTTATTAGTTTCATTCAGTATTTTTTTTTTTGGTAATTCACTAACTTTCAAATCGTGTTTTCTCCATTCCACACTTTTGAGTGACGACAGCATTTATTTAGTTTCATGTGCGATGTGCTGTAAGCGCTGCAAGGCGCTATTAGGTCTGCACGAAGCCATAGTGATAAAAGTAGTGAACTTCATCAATGACGTTAAGCATCCTTGTAATAAATCACCGAGTATATAACCAGAAATAGAGACGAAACAAGGGTCATCCTTCCATCTTTGACAACTCATCAGGCAAATGGGATTTATATCACTTTTAAATATCAACTCTCGTTTGCGCTGAAATCACAAATGAGAAAGCTGGAATAGTACAGCGCCAACAACTGACCTGTGTGTACGCCTCAGTATATTCCAAAAATATTTTGTATTTATTGTAATAAAAATAATATCTCTAACAATGGGAGGCCATTCCATACGCCGATTTAGGAAAAACAGCGAAACAACTAATTACAAAACAAACGAAATCACATTTCATCGGTAATTAAATATGTAATTTCTCAATTTTCGTCCATTATAGTGAAACAATTGACAACACCCGTCAATTGTGTCGAATTCAGGCAGGCAAAGCGGAGCGCAGTTGTCACCGTAATGATTTGGCGGAATGGTTTTCAAACAAATGACATTCCGTCTCTATTTTTTCTGGTTATATACTCGATGTAATAAGCTCGTTAATAACATTATAATACTTAACACGCTTATCGATAATATGATCATACTTTTAAATACTTTTTAGATTACACTGTGCATACTATGAGCACCATTGTCTATACATAACCGTCGTCACTTTCCAAATCATAAGACGTTTCAAATACTTAGACTAAATTTTTGTAACCATACGTACAAACTATTTAGATACGAGCCAAAAAACAGGTCGCACGTCTTTGGGAAAATTCTCAAGAAGTCTCGGAAATTCCCACTGTACAATATCAGTTACATCACTGACATAAAGCTCATTAGGCTATGTACAATTTCGTTATCAAAATCCGCGTTAATTCCGTTCCGCGGCAATGCAAATTGAGCCTAAAGATGGCCATTTTGACAGCAACATAATAATGTCGTCTTTCTTGGATATAAAGTGAGTGTGTATGTGAGAGCGAGATCACTCGTTTTGTACCATTTTTATAATTCGTCATTTGTCACTTAAGAAATAAGGCAGACGCATAAAGTTGGGAAGTTCTTAAACGATAATTACGACGCGTTTCAGAGCCCATATAAGTCTGTTTCTCTAAAATTTCTGTAACGTGTTTACAAAGAATTAGTTTCAATTTGTGTAGAGAGAATTAGTTTCAATTTGTATAGAGCAATTGCTGAACTGCTCTTTTAAAACGTGTTGATGACAAATTAAGGTGGTGGTGTACTCACCGAGACGTCATCTTGCTTTATGGCTTGCACCGCTGTTTCACCTGAAACAAAATGTTTTGTTTGAATCCCAATTTTGCTCTAAAATGTAGTCTATACACCAAAATTTAAATAAAAAAGCAACTTAAGTAATGAGTTAGTTAAATGTAAGAAACAATATGTTATTCAAAAATCAGACAAATTTGAATCTTCTATTAAACACATAACACCTGGATAAATGTATGAACTTGTCCCAATGTTGAACGAAAGTGTCGTTTAAGTGTATGCTTTTAACAGAGTAATCCTTAGTTTGAGTTTCTTGCTCTTTCTTCTTATATTTTCAGGGAAAAGTTTTCTGTATGGGCAATACTGTTCAAAAATATGACGATTTCAAGTACACAAGTGAATTCCAGTTTTCTTATGAAATCAGGATATTTTCGTTGTTATTCAGTAAATTATTATCACTGCTTACTAATTCAAGTTCTTTCAAGAGGGTAGACAGATGTCAGTTCTTAAAGCTGTCAACAGAACCTGGCCCGTCAAACTCGTAGGGAGTGTAAACAAAATATAATAAGTGCAACATCTGCCTGTTCGGTGTGTCAATGCCTATACCTCTCTCGAAGCCGTAGGGTTGTCACAGGCCGTAAACATAATTTGAAAAAAAAAGGTGTTAGGAGAGGAACCCTTTGTGATATTTCAAAATGTTTAGTTTGGTGCGCGATCGCCCGCGTCGGCGCTCGGACTAATATAATACCAACTGGCTACCTTAGATTCAATTGACAAGTGTGCCAAGAGGCTTATAGGTTACTCGAAATTAGTAGAGGCGAAGCTGCAAAGCCTTGAACACCGCCGTAAAGGTGCTTGCTTGTCGGTGTTCTACAGAATATATCACGGAGAGTGTGTAATGGAATTATACATGATTTAATTCTGCCATCTTTTCCATTGCCGGGAGACTAGACGTACGTTTGGGTTCCAACCTTATGTTGTCGGCATTTCAAGGATTCGAACGAACAGTTACGCTTCCACATTTATATGAACCCCTGAACGTTATAGCTTGGGCTTCTTGAAGGCGAGAGTGAATAGGTATTATTACGTGTGCATATCGTTGATCTGATCGTCACTTTTCATCAGGTGAGATAGAGGTCAAATGCGCACATATATGAACGGCGAATGGGCTTAATGCGACAACTGTGGTGAAACACGATCTATGTATTGGATGATAGATAATGATAGATTTTTGGAGATAAGGTGTCGTAAATCGCCTCGCGTCCCGCAATCCATGCGATGTAAATTAATATGAATAAAAAAGGAATAGGTAGGCGGAAAAAACTTGACACAATACCGACGTCGATACGGGCGCCCGATGGCGACTGACGGGGCGACGCCGGCGGCGCGTCGTGTCGTTAATCCGCTGGGCAATTTGCAAATTTTTGAATAAATGTGAATTAAATAAATATAGGACTTCAGTTAAAAACCAAAATTTAGCAGGTTCTTTTTATTACTTAAAGAAAAATATCTCCATATAAAAATTATGTAATAAATGAAAAATAATAATTCGTTTTAGGCTTTTATTTTAGCCTGTTTTCAGGAGTCGGATAAAGTACGTCTTATCGTGTAATAAGTTAGCATATTCTTTAAACAATATCCTTAGGTGTCTCGAATATTTTTTGTAAGACGATTATTTAATAGTAAATACCTAAACCATTTGATCGAGAAAAACAGTTTTTCCTTCTCCTCCGATGACTCGCCTTAACCCGTTATGTACTAGCGTTGCCATATGGAAGCACGGTATTCAAAAAATATAAATTATATAAAACAACAACTTTTATTATTTATTTCGTTTCAATGTGTATCCAAGCACATTTATGAATTTAAAAAATATAATGTGACTTTATTTTTTTCACAACACATTTTTTTATTTTTTCACAATTTTACACTAGTTATCGTTTTAGTTTGACTTTGGCTGAAGTAGTCGATCAACTTGAAACAGTGAAGATGTCCACGTTCCAGACGTGTACATAGAACTATCGGATGGAGCAGAATTTACCGACCAACATTCTGCGAGTGAAGACGAGGACTCTACCTACGTGGAAACCCTATCAGGTCGACACATTCGCGCGCCCGTCGAGCTTCGTGTTACACTCCGGAGCCGGTGGATAAATCCGGCCCTTCCAATAAAAGACGCAAATCTCTAATCATGCTTGGAAAAAACAATTTCCTACCTGACCCCAAAATCATATGTCATGAGCTAAAGAATTTTCTAGCCATTTTAGTAGAGTACAATAAATTGCCCAGTAAAAAAATGGTATTGGTACGGGGTTGATGATATATTATACGGAATACTCTGGTGTATAACAATTACAGGATTGAGATTCGTGGTAAAAATGGTCGTGGCCGATGTTCACGTTGTTCATAGATGTACCCGTAAATAACTTTTGGATCTTGATGAAGACGTCTGGCAAAAATGTATCACAGTTTTCGGAAAGAAATCGCTAAAACTTATCTGAAAAATATGGCACTACACCAGAGATTGGAGGACGTCCTTTTTGGAGGAAAGTTTTGCCAGGGGTGCTATATGATGCTGAAAAGCATTTCCTCAAACAAATAGAGAACAAAAGATGCGGGAGAGGGTTGCAAAACAATAAGTAGAGTAATTTGTACTAAATGTCTTGAAACATACAATTTTTTGCTGCCATTACATGGTTATCATTTATTACCCAACTGCCGCTAAGAGTTATACATAATGTATGGATGTAATGTTTGTATGGAGTTAGGCTGCCATCGACTACAAACAATAACTAAGACCAACCTATACTGGAATTAGATATTTTGTACCCACTTTGGCCTAGCGTTGCCATATGGCAACAGGACAAAACTCAAAAACGACAAAAAAAAATTTTTTTCCATATTTATTAAACACACAAAATAACAAATTTTAGCCTGATATCAAAATTCCAAGAATATCTGTAAACATTTAAAACTCAGTCCCTAATGGTTGAATAAGTTCGGTGACTCCCTGAAACAACTGAAATGTGTTTATAGTATATTCGTTGACATTCGTGTTATATAATAAAAAAAAAGTAACAAATGAAAATATTATCTCAAATTCGCACCTTATTATAGCCGAAGGACGATAGTACATGCTTTTATCATTACAATTTCTAATTCCAAGATTGGTAACCTTTAATAAATCATTTCGTATTGACATTGTTAATAGAAAAAAAGGACAAAAAGTTAAAGTGTATGTTTAAATCAATAAAAATATGATATTAATATGAAAATTGTAATATTTTTAATCTGTTATGGAACTCCAAGCACACCACTTTATCTCATACGTAGGTAAACCAAGAAAAGCCACCGTGTTCAGCACCGTATAAATATTTGCTTTTTCACCACTTATCATGTTTAAAATAAAAACTGTCAAACTTTTGGGTTAAGGACAGTAGTCAATCAATGTTTGAAATTCTTGCAAGTGGCAAGTGCACATTGTCTAATTTGTTTACCTCCAAATGACGTCACGCGATCCGAATTGACGTGTACTGCCGTTTGCGTACCAATGTTTTTTTTAAATTAAATTTGAACTTAATTTTAAGCACTTGAGAAGCTTTATTTAAATGAAATAGTATTTTTCTTGGTTGTCTACATCTGTTATGGTTAAATTTAAATACTTGGAAAGTATTTCATTTGAAAAGAATTCTCCTGGAAGTGGACGTATGATAAATACGTATGGTAACGTATGATAATTGAGAATGACCAACAATTGCCAAGTCTTAAACCAGACAATTCTTAGCTATGAAATCCACTCCGGGACACTACTCAGTACACCCAGACCAGAACCAATTTAGAATTGTATGTTTCCTAATTTAGCCCTACAGTAATCGACACCGGTACGGACGTCCAGCACTCACAGTGCACAGGGATCGTAACTCTATCTGCCTGTTAACAAGGGAATTTAAATATAAATAGCTTATTTTGCAAAATAAAATTGTAATGCTAGATAGAATTCTTTAATATCTTATTTGCAGGGTAATTGAAATGTATCTTTTAATGTTATTTATTCACCTCAGAAATTACAAAAAATAAAACTGTAAAATCCTTTTTTGGTCGCTTTTTCTTAAAATGCTCTTTTTGATATTACAGTGTTTTGGTTTAACACGCTAGAACTGTGTGTAGGCATTAGTTCACAACAATCGTCTAAAAAATAACAACAATTTATTAAATAAAACTGTAGGAGACTTACAGCATGGATATTGTACAATTATTTTTTTAATTCTGACATAACAAGTATATTTATGACAACATGAATAAATCCCGGATAAGGGAAACAGCGGATGTTTGTTTATGGTCCGGCCTTACGACGAGTTCATATTTTAACTCTATAGAGTCTCGCACCAATGATGAGGTTGATTATCAAAATCGTCAGACGTAGAATCAAACAATTAACACAGACAAATGTTCGACCTTGCTACCAAAGTCAACAATTGCTCAAGCAAGGTGAATAGTCGATACCTACACGACTTTCTTATGTAAGTATTTCTGGTTGCCTTGTTTTAAGCATATAATATGTGCATATTTGCGGCATGAAATTATGTTTTTTTTAAATGCCCCGCGCTTGAGAAATCCTTTGTCGCGGGTGCCATGGACACACATAGACAACGACAAATTACACCCAAACTCACGGGAGAAATAAATGTAAGCCATACAAATATTTCTTTCGGCCCGGGAATCGAACCCGGGACCTCTGCGTGGCACACCAGCGTGGTAATCATTCGGCCACTGAGGCAGTTTAATATCATATTACAGAAAATAAAGTTTAGTTCAAAACACTCCAGAAATTAATATTATTTTTACCAACTGTATAGGTTTCAAAAAAATACTGTTTCTGTGAGCAATTTGAAAGAAAAAAATTCGCGACATCTGGTTCTTATTATATTAGAAGTCGTATTGACTGCTAAACGAATCAGATTATGACGAGTTCAGCCCTTCGTGGGCGGAATTAAGTGACCAATTGCTGCAATCGAAAACAGTGATAAATCGGCGAACACCCGAAAGCAAAATATACACA